GTGTGCCAACCCCTATGCATAAGTTCACAAGGTCATTGAACCCGCAAGTTGATCACCAAAACATACATCAAGTAGATCATGTGAATATCCCAATGTCACCACAGATAAGCACATGCAAGACATACATCAAGTGTTCTCAAATCCTTGAAGACTCAATCTGATAAGATAACTTCAAAAGGAAAACTCAATCCATTACAAGAGAGTAGAGGGGGAGAAACATCATAAGATCCAACTATAATAGCAAAGCTCGCGGTACATCAAGATCGTGCCAAATCAAGAACACGAAAGAGAGAGAGAGAGAGAGAGAGAGAGAGAGAGAGAGAGAGAGAGAGAGAGAGATCAAACACATAGCTACTGGTACATACCCTCAGCCTCGAGGGTGAACTACTCCATCCTCGTCATGGAGAGCGCCGGGATGATGAAGATGGCCATCGGTGAGGGATCCCCCCGCTCCAGCAGGGTGCCGGAACAGGGTCCTGATTGGTTTTTGGTGGCTACAAAGGCTTGCGGCGACAGAACTTCCGATCTAGGTTATTTTCTGGAGGTTTGGGTATTTATAGGAATTTTTGGCGTCGGTCCCACGTCAAGGGGGTCTTCGAGTCATCCATGAGGCAGGGGGCGCGCCCAGGGGGTAGGGCTCGCCCTCCACCCTCATGGATGGCTCGGGACTCTTCTGGCCCAACTCTTTCACTCCAGGGACTTCTTTTGGTCCACAAAAAATCGTCAAAAATTTGCACGTCAATTGGACTCCTTTTGGTATTCCTTTTCTGTAAAACTCAAAAATAAGGAAAAAATAGAAACTGGCACTGGGCTCTAGGTTAATAGGTTAGTCCCAAAATTCATATAAAATAGCATATAAATGCATATAAAACATCCTAGATGGATAATATAATAGCATGGAACAATAAATAATTATAGATACTTTGGAGACGTATCAGCGCCCGATAGGTCCCCTATGCCTATGAAAGATGGGGCCCATGCCCAGAAATAAAACAAAAAAAGAGATTAACTAAATAATAATTGTTAAATAATTAATTAACTAATTAATTAGTTAGTAAGATAATTAGTTAACTAATTAACTTGCTTAATAACCTAACCAACCAGATTAGTTAATCAAATGTTGTTTAGTAAAACATGTATCAATGACATGCGGGTCCCATGGGCCCTTTTGACCAGTCAATGGTCTAGTCAAATGCTGACTGGACATTTGACCAGGGCCCCACCTGTCAGCCCCTTGGACACACTCTGGGTACACTTCCCGTGTACCCATAGCATCTAAAATACAAATTTAATTTTGAATTAAATTAAATCTAGAAATTAGAAAATAATTTTAAATCTTTAAACTTTACTAGCAAAAGGGCACATGCGTTGCAACGGGAGTAAATAATACTGCACGCTCTTAATTTTAAAAAATAGTCTATCATATGAGTATTACTACAGCCCAAACAAAGATGGTCTTTGCTTATAGAAGCGCGAGTTCAAGATTTCACATGTCTTCTATTTAAACAAGGCTTGCATGTAGATTTAATACGTACCAAGAAATGGGCAAGTGATCTTTAATTTCGTCTCCAATCCTGATTTGCTGAGATGTTCATCTATAATCCGGACCAGTACCAATCCAGATCAGTACCGATATGAAAGAAAGACGGATAATGCACTATTGATTAAGATTGCACCCTAGATAGTATTTTTTTAATGGTTAACAGGTAAAACAACATCATATTCAGATTCTATATATATTTTTAATCAAATTCCATATATAACATGTTAAATTTGAAGTTACGGTTTAGAAGATATGAGTATTTTAAAAACCATTTGATATGTACTGTGGGTTTAATGTCAGAAATATTAGGGGGTTTTCTATAAAATAATTTGACGGACTAAGAATACCTATTTATTTTATTAGTAGGTATAGAATATAAAATAATCCGTATCTCGGATGAAAATACTTTGTACATGAAAGCTGCTCAGAACAATGAGACGAATCCGAATACGCAGCCCGTTCGCCAGCCACACGTCCCTAGCATAGGGAACGTGCAACATTTCATCTCCGGTTCATTTGTCCGAAAACGTGAAATCCCCAAGGGATACTTACCCGGATGTTTCCCCCCTTCACCGGTATTACCTAATACCGCTTTAGGGCACACCTAAAACAGAAACGTGTTTTTTTTTCGTTTCCAAGAGGCACGGCCGTGACTCTCGCGAAAGCAAAACCGTGCCTCTCGCGGAAGCAAAACCGTGACTCTCCGAACAAGAAAGGGAAAACACGTTTTTTGTGCAATTTTTTTTGAATTTTTTTGATCAAAAAGCTAGGGAAGACCGCTGAAAAACCTAAACGTCAAAAAAAAAACCCCAGAAAAAACCATTTAAAAAGCCGAAAACGCGTGTGAAAAAATAAATAAAAAACAAAATTCGGAGGGAGCGCCCAGAGCGCGACATGTGGCAAATGGCTGAGAGCGCGCTAAGTGACGCTGATCGTTGCGAGGCTCCCGAAGGAGCGCTTTTTAATTACTTGCTCTCCAGTTTTCCTTGTGAAGTATGCATTGTTATTGGGGAACTCCTATGCGACGCATTTTGCAGCGAGTAGCGTCCTGAGCACACAGAAGTAGCGAATCGGGCCGGCCCAGCTGCGGGAGCGCACTCGAAAACTCCAAAAATGAATGTGCTCGATCAGGTTCGAACCCACGACCGCACAAACTACACGCTGGCAAGTAACCAACGCACCTGAAGAGGCTTTAATAAGGCAGTATTGTAAGATTGAACGTCTTATGACAATTCAAACACAATTTTTAAAGGAACTAATTACTTTTTGACACGTGAAATATTCAAAAAGATCTAAAGAAATTTTAGAAAATCAAACATCTCTTGATTTTGCGATTTTTTCTAAAAATGGAAATGTTTTTTTGAAATTGGGAATAAAAGTGGAAACACGAACATTTTTTGAAACTCCAAACAAAAACTGAAAACATGAACATTTTTTTCAGATGTGAATGTTTTTTTTTGAAAATACGATCATTTTTTGAATCTATGAACAATTTTGAAAATACGAACAATTTTTTGAAAATCCGAACAAAAATTGAAAAAATGAACATTTTTTCAGATGTGAACAAAATTTGAAAATAAGAACATTTTCTGAATCTATGAACAATTTTTTGAAAAGAAAACAAATTGTTGACAAATGCAAACTTTTCTAAAAATATAAATATTTTTAGAAATTCAGGAACATTTTTAAATTTGTGAACAAAAATTGAAAATGGGAACATTTTTTAAATTCCCAAACACTTTTTGTAAAGTGCAACCATTTTTTGAAGTTGTGAACAATTTTTGAAAAAATGAGAACAATTTTTGATTTAGAATAGTTTTTTGAAATAATGAACAATTTTCAAAGACAAGAAGGATTTTTGAATTTCAAACAATACTTGAGTTCTCGAACTTATTTTGAAATAAAAGGGAAAAAGAAAAATAAAAAAATGAAAATGAAACAGATAAAACAGAAAAAGGAAGGAGAAACAGAAAATAAAAGGAAAATGAAAACCCCGCTTACGGAACCTTCTAGAAACGGATAAAAACCGGCATGGAAACTTCTAGAAATTTCCCAAAACCGGGACTTCCTACAGCGGGAGATGGGCTGGCCCACTTTATCACATCCCCTGTAGGATCGGTCGACTGTTTGACGCAGAGAGCGTCAAATAGGCTTCTCCTTGTTATTGGGCGGTGTTGTTCACTTGGTGGTCGTAGGTTTGAATCCAGCCCACTACGAATTATATTTGTCATTTTTCGTTATACACTGTTCATAGACAAGTGGGTGTCACCGAGGCCTTTCTGCGTAATTAAAAAGACCCAACGAGTTATCTGATTCTTTTACTCCCAGCCATTGACACGTGGATCAGTGCCATGCTCGCATGCCACACATGTAGGGTATACGTCCGGATACGGTAGAAAGCACCGTATTTACAACAAACAACGAGGTTAGATGACCAAATGCATATTTTTAAAATCCACTGTCCTCTTGTAGCCCTTTTTTATTTTGGTTTTTTGTTGCGGTTTTCTATTTTGGTTTCTTTGTTGTTGTAATATATTTTCGCTTTTCATTTGTTCCCTTTTTTTCCTGGCCTTATTGTTTTTAAACACTTCTGGATGATATATATGGTGAACATTATTTTAAATGCACCAAATGTTTTTCAAATACATGTTTTTCTAGAATACATTCTACTTTTTAATAAATGCACGATGAACTTTTTCTTAAAATATTTGGCACACCTTTTACGTGTTCCAAATAAATCAGACAAATTTGTTCAGATTTTTTAGATAAGTCTAATCATAGTTTTTTACAAAAAAAAAACTGAGCAAACCGAACGAAAAAATTGTTATAACCGAAGTACAGCCTCGGGAAGAAGTATCGCGAGCCCAAACTGAATTTGGGTGGTCGGCCCAGCGTAGGTGTCTCGCAGTCCTGGCCTTGCCGGTTTTGAGGACCAGCTAGCAATAAAAAGTGTCTCAAAAAGAAAAAAGCTAGCAAAAAAATCCCTACGCCGTCTCGATGGTAGCTTTACCATCGTCTCCCGCCGGGAAATTCTCTGTTCCTCAATCCCAGCTAGAAAAAAAAAATCGAGTCTTTCAACGCCAAACCCTTAGCTCCAGTTGAAGGAGCTGCGAGATTGAAGGTCCATCCGGAAGCGATTCATCCTGCTTGCCGAGGTAAGCACGCAAGTCCTCTTGTTCATTCTCGTCAACTACCAGATCTCGCGCGCAGAGGAAAAACACTACCAGATCTCGTCGTCTTTTCTTTCCTTAGCTGTGGGCAACACTAGATCCGTCTTATTCAAGGTCGATTTAAGTTAAGAATTACTGCCCGCGAGAAAAGAGTCAGTTTCTATGATTATTTACTTAAATGTTTTATCAAATATCTGCATCGGGGAGGTTCACTAGCAGTAGGCTAAGGTCCGCGTGTTGATTTTATTGCAGACCAACTGACTGCTTCGAGTTTGGGTAAGCAGATCATGTGTAGCAGAAAAAGAGAGGAAGATTGCCAATATCATGCGTTAATCTCAAAAGGAGAGGGGAATATTGCCATTACCATGCCATCCTCTGCTTGCAACCAGAGGAAGAAGGCCGCATTTTCCGGTGGTGGTTCGCTCCCGGATGAGATAATCATGGAGGTGCTACTGCGGCTCCCTGTCAAATCCATACTCCGCTTCCGGGCCGTCTGCCGCTCCTGGGCTGTGTTCTTCTCCACTGAGCAGTTCTGCAATCTCCACATGGCGACCCCCAAGATAGCACCGCCGAAGCTACTGTTTGTCTCACCCACATCAAGACCCGGCTCCACAGAGGTGTTCTCATGCTCCCCCTCAGGCCCCAAAGATGACCTGCTGTTCACCCTTGACTCTGCCTGCGGCAACTCGATGCAGGTTGTCATGCCAGCGCCGTGCCATGGCCTCACCCTTCTGTTTGATGCTGTTGCGCCAGCTTACTACATCTGCAATGCTGCCACACGAGCAGTAACACGTCTGCCACCTTTCCGTTACTTGGTCAGGTGTACATCTACCGGGCTGGGATTTGATGCCAGGACAAGAAAGTACAAAGTGGTCAGACTGATCAAAGGGTCACGCCATGACAATGAGTCCGTAAGGTGTGAGGTATACACACATGGAAGTGGTTATGGGGATTGCTGGAGGCCGCCTACTGGAGGAATACCCTTTGGATTGTGCAGGTTTGCAGGTGCTGCTGTTAATAATGCGGCATTCTTCAGTCTACCACCTGTGTTTGCAAATGGACACCTGCACTGGTTGGTCCAGCCTTCTTTGTTCTCCAAAAAGCCAAGAGCTGCTGTGATATCATTTTCTCTTGCGGAGGAGACCTTCAGTTTTGTTGGGCCACCACCGTTCTGGACATCAGAAATGTACTCATCCACACCATTGTCAGCATCAGGTCCAGAGTTTGTCCCCTTCTGCCCCGGGACATTAGGAGAGCACCTAGTGCAGATGGATAACCAACCGTGTATGGTCCGAGACCTTCGATATAATCGTAATGGTGGTTGCGTTCTGGAGATATGGAAATTGCCGGATCGTAGCTCTTGTGCTTGGTCACTGAATCATCGCATTTCTTTGTTAGGGCGTGTGGCAACAGATTTACGTCAGCCCAAGGTTGTGAGAGTTATTGGTTCTACAGGCACTAGCATGTCAACGAAGAAGATCCTCATCGCTACTAGCATGCACAAAATCTGCGACAAGTTTCAGAAGAAGGTTTACACCTATGACCTTAATTCTGAATCTTTAGAGACCATTCTTTCAATCACCGTGGCACATGCATCGCTTGAAGGCATGAATCCAAGTTCAAGATTCAGTTTATTTGAAGAGAGCCTTGCCCTGGTGCATGAAACAGTTGAAAAGATAAAATTGTCAACTACTCCGCCTCCCAACCGAAACTAGATGGTATCCATCGAGCTTGTATGATGTCGATTTTCATGTTTTTAGATATTTTTTCCCTGGCATCTATTGACCCCTTTTGTAAGAGCAGTCGTTCCTTTTTTGCTTTGAGATGTTGATTATCATTTAGCATGCGGAAGTTATTTCATGTTTTCATACCTTGTAGAGGACACACGCACACATTGATCCTTCACTTAGTACTACTGATTTATCACTTAATTAAGCAGTTAAATTCAAGTGTACTATTTCTGTTCCATCAGTAGGAAAGAGAAACTAACTAAAATCAGAATAGTACTGTTCTCTTATCAAAACAATCGAGACCGTAAATGGTTATTATAGACCATGAATCATAGCAGACAATGGTCACATACAAATGCACACTGCAACACGTTTCCATTACTGGAAATTCAGAGCAAATGTTATTATTAGTTAGTCAGAGCAAATGTTATTATTAGTTTGCAAACTCAAGTTTGGAGTATAGGCTTACCTAATGCATCAGGTTATCTGATAACTGTAGCGTGTGTTTCTGCATGTATAAAGTGCTTTTTGCTTGGGTAAAAGCTTATGTGTAAACAAACTTAAGTAAGCCCACCAAGTGATAAATTTCTTCTAATCAGTACATTGTTTAAGTGGGTTCTATTAGGTCTTATCGGGTTAATCTATGGGTAGGCACAAGCTCTTATATTTGTTGTTTCTTGTGAGCTTCTGATCGTTTAAACATTTGTTTTAGTATGTACTCCCTCCGTCCCGAAAAACATGTCGCAGTGGCACTTTTATGAAAATCCCCTCAGCGAATTCCCGACACAACCCGCACTCCCTGGTCGTCTCCCTCGCTCGTCTCCCCTGCGCGCCGAAGGTCCCCTGCTGGGTTCCCCCACGCCGGAGGTCCCCTGCTCGGCTCCACCGCGCGTCGCCGAAGCTCCCCCGCCCCCGCCCCACGCCTCCACCGCGCTTCCCTCTCCTTGTTCCCTTATTCGTTCCCCATGGTGAATCACGGGAAGGAGAAGGCTCGATTTTTGTTTCGATCTGCTCTCCGGCGGCAGCGGCCTTTCCCGAGCTTGGCGAGCCGGAGCTGGCCCTTCCCGTCGTCAACCACCTCCTCGCCGGCTGGCCGTCGTAGACCACGAAGCCGGTCCCCGCCAGTTCCTTCACCTCGCCGCCAACCTCGTCCATCTCGCTCCCCCGCGCACCTCCCTGGAGTCGGCAGAAGTTCTCCACTTTCCTCCGTCGGCAGCAGCAACCATCCCCGCCTTCGCCGCCCAGCAACCAGCACTGCCCGCGACGACAGAGAAAAGGTGAGGATCCAAACTGTCCCCAAGTTGTCCCCAAACTGTAATGTTTGACTGAAATTTGAGTAAAACTGAAAAATTTGAAGTTGCAGTTGCAGTTGCAGCAGTACGGGCCTGGAGATTTGGTGACTGTCTTGCTGTTCGGTGATGCAGCAGAACACTTGCAGTTGCTTGGGTGGCCTGGCCCTTTCAGTTGCAACTTGCAAAGTTCTGTATGTATCCTTTGGGTTGTTGATTCTGAACATTTTGTGCAACTTGTATGTATCCCCTACTTCATCACCAATTCGTTTGACCACACCACTTGCTTGCTGATCTTCACAGGCATATAATGTGCACCCTTGGTCATCCGATCCCATGAACTGCTAACGAAACAACGCCCAACGTCGTGACTGTGGTCACGTTCTGCAACCAAGCAACCGCCCTCCTCCGTTCTCCTCCAGCAGCAGCAAAAGGTTTTTTCCTCTCCCTTGTTACTGAATTTAAGTTGGAGACAACATTTAAGTTATGAACCTTGTTACTAAATCATGTTGTGAATCACTTAAGTTCTGAACCATTGGAATTTCTGAATCATGAACTTTGTTAAGTTTTTAAAAAGATGAGTACTAGTACATCCAGGACACATAGGCAACCCAAATCCGACATGTTAGTAAGATTTGTACTATCTCAAAATTCACTCAGTTGGCAAAGAAAGGCTGCTATGCACATAAAATTCAGTTTACTCCAAAATCAGTAAACTGAATTTATTTTTCAATTCATATACACCAGGCACTTAATTCAGTAAACTGATTCATTTAAAGTAAACTACCTATTTTTTTACCTAACTACCTATTCTTAGATTCAGTCAGATAACTACCTATTCTTTTTTTACAATCATGCTCTCTTTATTTACAATCTGAACAAATTAAAGAAAGGAAAAGGAACTACAGCCAAGAAGGCATGCATGTAAGTATCTTGGATCTTGACATTTACTCATGGAATATGCATCATTTTCTCTCAACTCAATTAATCAGAGTACGACATGGCAAACTTCTGAATAAATTTCCAAGACATCACAAGCGGGAACAGTTCTACAACAGCACATCTACTGAATTTTGTGGAGTGTATGGTTTGTACTGAATTTTTTTCACTAATTTGCACTGGATTTCAGTTAAATCTTCAGTACATTTTCAGTTAAATTTTGAGTTGAATATGCAGTACATTATGTGATGTTTTTTCTGAAATTATTTCGTTCACACCAATTGTTTATCTCAACATCTGTAGAGGTTATGCTTGTGCTACTGAATTTGAAATTGAACAGAATTATCTTTGTTTGTTGCTTACTTGACACTGGCCACATTACTTAGATGTGCTAGAACCTAAAGATAGACACTGTTTTAGAAAGAAATGAAACAGGGCAACTAACCAAAAAGAAAGCAGAGTATCTTTAATCCATATATTAGTTGCTCTTCCATATTCACAGATTTGCGTCTGGCCGTGGCCTATGTGCACATGATAAATTAAGATTCTCACAATGTCCGAAGCAGCAGTAGACACAATTGTGCAGTTACCCAATTGATAAATTAAGATAGAGTGTGAATTTCAATAAAATTGGCCATCGGTTCACTATTTTGATGTCTAGGAGGAACTGGAGCAAACTCTGGTTGGCATATGAGATTTGAGCACGGCCGAAGCGAACAAACATCCCAGCAATCTTGTCTTATTTTGATTTGCTCCAAAATTAACAGTGAATTTGATTGAATTTACTCTGTATCTTCAGAGTGCAGAGGAGCAGCAGCAGCAGTAGCTCGGGCACGGGAGAAGCACGGGAGACAGCAGAGCTCCATCGGCGGGAGCTCGAGGATAAGCAACAACGGGAGCTCGAGGAGAAGCAGCAGCCAGAGCTCAAGGAGAAGCAATCGCCGGAGCTTGAGGAGAAGCAGCAGCGGGAGAGCAGTTTTGGGCGGCGGCGCAGATCTGGGCGACGGCAGAGCGGGTCTGGGCGGCGGCGGCGGCGACGCCCGTACGGAATCGTGGCTGGCCGGCGCCGGCCCCTGGCAATCGTGCGGGGGACAAGCGGAGGAAGATGTGGCGGAGGTGTCTGTTTGTCACACTTTTCCAATTGCGAGGGTTGTTCTGCAAATTCGCCAATGAACTGGGGCCGCGACATGAATTTTGGGACGGAGGGAGTACTACTCTTATTGGTTTGTTGGTAATAAATGCATTTGCGGTTGGGGTTAGTTAATTGTCTATCTCTTTTGATATACCCAACTATAAATTATTGCAAGTGAGTGTTTCATGCTTCATCTTTGTTCACTTGCACATATATTGGGTTGTAATGAAATGGGGGGAGTGTCTCTCCACTGGTGTGCCTTTTGTATTCAAATGCAACATTTACAATATGGCACAAAGTTAGTGGAGCTCTTATTTATTGTCATTAGAAACATGATGAGGAGCTTATCATAATATTTTTATATCGTTAAATTGTGTTGTCATCAATGCCAAAATAGGGGAGATTGAAAGGGCATTTATGCCCTTAATTGTCTTTGGTGTTAATGACAACATAATTCGTGTTTTAACCATAATTATAAACAATGGTATTGTATCATAAAGAGAAGCATGGATCAACTGCACGTACACATTGTCACACCCTAGCTAGTCATGCATCAGAGTGTGTGCATCATGTTTAAAATTCCATTTAAATTGAAATGGGGATTTGTGAAACCCTCAGAATCATTTTTGAAAATGATCCAAATAAAAATTTCTCCAAAAGGGTCCAAGAAAAATGCTCATGTTGCTCTCTGAAAATATTGGACAGAGATAAAAATCAAACCAATATTTTTAAGAGCTCATAGGTATTTATTTTGGGCATTTGGAATTAATGCATAAATATTTGCATTGGAAATATATTAATTATATATATTAATATATGTCCAAATATTATGCCAATTATAAAGGAGCTCTGGAATAATATATCTAGCTCCTGCAAAAATTGGCATAAGGTAAATAAATGATTTAATATTTATTTTAAATCAAAACAAATGTCAGAAATTAGAAAACAGAAATAAATAAAAGGGAGAGCTTACCTGGGCTCCTCCCTGTGCAGTCCAGCCAGCTGGCCGGCCCAGCCAGCAGGCGGCCCAGCCCGCCTCCCTCCTCTGTCGTCTTCGTCCTCGACAGAGGGAGGGGAGTGTGGCCGGCGCGCGCGCGCCACCGCGCCACGCCACCTGCTCGGCTGCCTGCCTGCCCTCCCCTCCTCGCTCGATGCCCCGGACGACGCCACGCCTCTCCCTCGCTCTCTCTCACTCTCCCTCAGCTCCTCCCTCCTCTCCCTCGCTCTCTCTCTCACACGGCCGAACACCACCGTCGCCGCCGTTCGCCATAGCAGCCGTCACCGGCCACCCCTCGCCCCCCCGACTAGCTCAGGAGCTCCGCCGCGACCCCCTCTTCCTCCCCACCGCTCCACAGGCCTCCGGAAGCCCTGCATCGCCGCCACGTCGCCGTTCCCCTCCTCGGCCACCGGAGATCGTCGCCGTCGAATCGGGAGCTACCGGACGTCCCCGAGCCCGCTAACCATCCCTGCAGCTCCGCGGTGAGCCACTAACTCGATTCCCCCTTGCCCCGTCGTCCCTAGCCTCCTGTAGCTGCCGCCCCCTTGGGCTCCGAAGCTCGACGCCGCCGGCGATGTCGCCGTCGTGGCCACGGTCACCGTAGCGCCCAACCGAGCACACCCACGCA